TACCCCGTGCCAGAAAGACTGAAAGTCTTATTGGAACAAAAGCAGGGCCTTTCTGGGCATCTGCTTGAGCAAAGACTAACAGACCACAACCAGCAGAGGGAAGTGAAACTAAACTACAGCACATGCTTTTCGGCCTAAGGGACCAGGGGAAGATAACTAAAGAGTTCAGCAAATTTACAATTTGCCACGATATAGCAAGCCCAGAAGGCATCATTTTTGGGTCTGGAGAAAGCCTCAATTCGGAAACAGCTGCCTCCATCGTAGCAGGATATACTGGACTAGCAACCTCAACATCTGGTGACTGGCCCCTGTCTCCATGGCAGCCATTTTGAGCCCACGGGCTCAAGGTTGAGGAACTGCCCTATAATGTCTGAGGTAGATACCAAAGACTAACAGGCAACAACCAGCAGAGGGAAGTGAAACTAAACTACAGCACATGCTTTTCGGCCTACGGAACCAGGGGAAGATAACTAAAGAGTTCACCAAATTTACAGTTTGCCATGATATAGCAAGCTCAGAAGGCATCATTTTTGCGTCGGGAGAAAGCCTCAATTTGGAAACAGCTGCCTCCATTGTAGCAGGATACTGGATTAGCAACCTCAACATCTGGTGACTGCCCCCTGTCTCCATGGCAGCCACTTTGGGATTGGTCACAATATTCCAAAACTGCCCACGGACTCAAGGTTGAGCAACTGCCCTATAATGTCTGAGGTAGATACATCTCACTAGTACTAGTCTTGAACAGCATATGTGTATATGCACGGTGTATACTGTTGTGAGATTTTGGATGTGGGTGTGTGGCTGCACGTGTCCTGTAAAAGCGTGCTTACCCATGTCACCCACATTTCCCCCCCTCAGTTCGTGTGTGTCTCCTGAGTGTCGCCCCTTACCAAAGGCAGATGTGCAAGCTTGGAAATCACTAAGGTCTCCTTCTTAAAATAAAACTAATCTTTATTATAGAAAAACATTCAGAATCCTAGTTCCTAAACATTTTATAGAATATACAGAAACATAAACATGCAGCAAAGTTTTCCCCACCCCATGCATGCGCGGATGAGAAGGCCTCTCTGACTGACTCCTTTCGGAGTCAGCTGAGGTCTGTCGTAACCGACCCATATATATACCAAAGATCAAAGAGGTTCCTTAATTGTCCTGCAGGAAATTGGTTTCCTTTCCTGGGTCTCACACAACAAAAGTGTACACATTTTACAGGATCAATACAGTGTCATTGTTTCTTGCAGGTGTTCCCTAATCATGGAAAATAAACTGTGTGTTGATGTTATCAGAGAGAGATGAAAGCAGGGTGTGTGTGTGAACTCTCTGTATTTCAGGAAGCTAGTCTTATGGATTGAAGTCTGCCAATTTCCCAAATGGTCATATATTTTATGGCCTGGGAAATTGGGGTTATTGGCAAGTTTCACATCTGTGGAGTTCCCTGGGAATTTCCTGGTAATTGAAGGTGTTACATCTTCAGTGAAAGAAAGGTCAAGCCTGTCTTTTTTTCTAGCCAGGGCAGAGATAGATATACATGGATTTCATAAGCTGTTTGGTTCATTTTAAACCCAAACCTATATTTCTGACAATTCTTACCACATATACACACGGTGAAAGAGATGTATCCACCTCATAAAGGTACAGTGTGGCATATAAGAAGACGGGCTGAATTCAGATTGATGACGATTGTCCTGCCTGTTCCCAGTTCATGCTCCAAGTAGTGCTTGATGCCATTTTATATTCTAGGGAGGTCGAACTCTACACTTCGGAGCAGCATCCAATATACAACAGGGGGCACAGCATGGTGCGGGTAGCCTTTTAAAAATACCACCCAGTTGCTCTCAGGCCTCCAGCTATGGCGGCCGTCGTCCTGGCAGCTTTCGCCAACGTCTGCGCCAGTGTCGGCTGGGTCAGTCTCCTGCCACTGCCACCACCTGCCCTCAGCGCACGCTATCAGTACCACCTGTGCTGCCAGGGCCTGCTTACCACCAGCCCTTTGCTGCTGCTGCCTCCACTACCACTACTGGGGCCTTCAGGATGCCACCAGGGCCTACCTGCCAGCTGCCAGGGGAAGGGAGACAAGAAATGAGCCCCAGGCCAGCTCACCAACAAAGTGATGAACAGGTCAGGCCCTGCGAATGTGTGCGTCCTCTGAGAGAGAGTGTGGAGATATCAGATTAATCCACAGCACATCCCACGTTCCATCCAGATCTAACAAACTTCTCAAAGCAGCCATCATCTTCATCATCACCACCACCACCATCATCATCTCAACAGCATCTGTAGTGGGAAAGGCAGAAATCATTAACAGGGCAAATAAACAGTCAGCTTTGAGGAGCTGGTTTGTTTGTTTGTTTTGCCCCAGATGGTTTATGGGTGACCCCCACCCCACCCCTGGTTTTCAAGGCAAGAGATAAACAGAGGTGGTTTGCCATTGCCTGCATACTAGCTAGGGCCAACCCTGCTTAGCTTCCAAGGTCTGATGAGATCCGGCTGGCCTAGGCTATCCATGTCCCATTCAAAGATCTTTCAGAATAGATTTGTCATACTATGGGATGGATCCAGACTCAATTTTCCCCTAATGGAAGTGGGGAGGTAATTGCCACCAATTCAACTTTCCTGCTGCAGACTCCTGATTTGCGTTTCATGCTGTTCTTGAGGAACCCCTGGGCCCCAGGAGCTGCATTTTGGGAAGATCAGTGGGCTGGTTCCGTTCCACTGACTTAAGAGCCTTGCATGAGTAGAAAAGTTAGTCTGGATCCAACCCCTAATTCCCAGAAGACCCTCAGTGATGGGCCATTCAATTTTCTAGGGAGAGAAAGTTCCAGATCCTGGGGACAACTGCGGAGAAAGCCCTCTGCCACGTGCCCATCAGTTTTACCTCACGCAGTGTGAGAATGCAGAAACGGCATTGGGTATTTATACCTTGTTTAGGTATTTATATCTTGATAAGCTCCCCAGTGTTGGGCCAAAGTGGCTTACTATGTTGTTCTTCTCACCTCCATTTTATCCTCACAACAATCCTGTGAGGTAGGTTAGGCTGAGAGTGACTGACTGACTCAAGGCCACCCAGTGAGCTCCCGTGGCAAAGTGGAGATTCAAAGCAGGGTCTCCTAGATCCTAGCTGAGATCTCTAACCACCACACCAGGCTAGCTTGACAAGTTTCCACACAACTGATTTTACCACCCCTAGTATATTCAGTGCATACGCACTATACCTAATGGTTCTATATGAAACAATCCTTAGGAAGGCTATGTGTGATTAAAACCTGTATTTGAGGAACTTGGAGGGGGGGGGGAATTAAAATCTGGTTTTGATACCAGTTAAACTATCCTGGCTCTTCCCTGATGGGAGTGCTGAGAATTCTTTATTAGAGATTCTTACCCCTATTCACAAACCTATAGTTTCCAGCTGGTTTTCCAAAGGGGGGGGGACAAGGGAGGTAAAATTTCAGGGGGCCCTCCTGGTTACCCTAGGAGCTGGGCGAGTCATGTGTGTTGTTGTCATAGGTGCTTGAGTGGAGGTGATAGGTTGAGGAGGAGGCCCAGAAAGGAAACATCTGTCTGGGAGGCCTGTGGTGGCTCTCAGCATCCTTAGTAATCCAGTATTTCGAGGACAGACTAAAGATGCATTAAATGAATTTGGAATCTGTAATGCAGGGATGGTATGAGCAGCTGAATTAATCCTCCATTTGCTTGGTAGAAAGTAAAACATATGTGAGTATCTGAAGTATAGCACTATGGGACAGGAACAGGCATGTCAGTGTTGCTTGGAAAGGTACATGAAAGCTTATACCTTGAATAAAATTTTGTTGGTCTTAAAGGTGCCCCTGGGCTCAGACGTTGTTCTAACTAAAACATATTTCTCTGTTCAGAAACAAATTCAGGATCAGTTGAAGTGTTTGTGGCATGATAAAGAGCAGCTCTTGGCATTTAAGGCAATTGGCTCAGCAAACCACAAGGAATCTCTGGTAGGTACTGGTGCTTATTGACTATCTGGGAAGGTGTGGGATGGGGAAATGTGCCCTGTCTGTGTCATTTGGATAGTAATCAGACCTTTCACTACTGGAATCTGTCCGTTGCAGAGAAAGATCACATCAGAGATGCAGAAAGCAGAGTCTGTCTTTGAGCAGGCGCACGAGTTTCTCAGTGAGCAAAAGCAATTCCTGTTGGCCCAGTGGGAATCACTAAAGACAGCAGCAGAGAAGCAGCAGCAGGAACACACCAACAAGCTCTCAGAAAACATTTCCTGCTTGGACAGCCTCATCATAGAGGCAGAAGGAAGATGCCAGCGACCAACCAATGAGTTTTTACAAGTTAGAACTTGGATTTGTGCTGTGTGTGTGTGTGTGTGTGTGTGTGTGTGTGTTGGGAGCGCAAAGGTCTTGAGAGCAGCAATTGCCTGATCCTTTGCAGAGTTCTAAGCCATTTATATAGCCATTTCTCTGCCACATGTAAGACACATGAGAGACATGAGATGTGGGGTCACTCGTTGGGGTGTGGGGCGCAGGGGTGCACGTGATGCAAACACGACAGGACACAAGTCTGCAGGAAGCTGTGTGAAACCTTTCGGCTTCCCAGCATTTATTTATAAGCTCAGTTTTCCCCCATTTCCTCCCCCTCCTCTCTCTCCTTCTCCCTGCGTAGAGGAAAGTTTCAAGCATTCTAGCATCCTTGTGGAATGTGTGTGTGTGTGTGTGTGCAGGCAAGTTCTCTGTTATCAGTTCCTCCTCCTCCTCAAGGTTAAACCAACTGCGTCAGTGAACAGTAAACAGATTCCATCTCGTGCTCTCATTACGTATAAGTATTTCAGTTCCCAATTTCCAGGCAGGAGAATCCATCTGCACTGCTTTCCTACAATGAGAGGTTTCTGTCTGGTGAGGTTAGGCCTGCTTCACATGTAATACTTTCCCACCACCCTAGGGTTGCCAGCTCTGGGTTCGGAAATTCCTGGAGATTGAAGGTAGAGCTTTGGAGGGTGGACTTTAGGAAGGGGAGGGACCTCAGTAGGATATAATGTCATACAGTCCACCTTCCAAAGCCATCCTGGTATAGTGGTTAAGTGCGCAGACTCTAATCTGGGAGAACCGGGTTTGATTTCCCCACTCCTCCACTTGCAGCTGCTGGATGACCTTGGGCAAGCCATAGTTCTGGCACAGCTGTTCCTGAAAGAGCAGTTCTCTCAGAACTCTCTCAGCCCCACCTACTTCACAGGGTGTCTGTTGTGGGGAGGGGAAGGAGTTTGTAAGCCACTTTGAGACTCCGAGTGAAGGGCGGGGCTTAAATCCAATCTCCTTCTTCTCTTCCTCCTCCTCCTCTTCTTCGCCACTTTCTCCAGGAGAAGTAAATAAACAGACAGACAGAGATCAGCGGTAATTCCTGGAGATCTCCAACCCCCAGCTGGAGACTGGCAGCCCTACGCCACTCCAAAGTAAAACAAGATTGGTTTCCCTAAAATATTCAAATATTCAAAGACCTTTTCAGCTCTGAGATTAATAGTCTCAGTCACTTATGTAGCATTTTAAACATGCAACGCACTTGGCAGTCATCATCAAGCCCACCGTCCCCATCAGTTCTATGAAGGACACCCTTCGCAGTTCAACTGTGCACATGGGGATTTGAGGCTCAGAGTGAATGACTTGCCAGAAGCCACAGCTGACTTTGATTCTTTCAGTGCAATCCTAAACAAAGTTACACCCATCTAAGCCAATTAATTGTGTTTAGGGTTGCCTTGTTAGGTCATTTCCACAATAACTGTTTGGTCCAGCTTGCAAGCTTTTATTTACTTTATTTATATTCCGCCTTTCTCCTCATTGGGGAACCAAAGCGGCTTACATCATGCTTCTTGCCTCTTTTTTATCCTCACAGCAACCCTGTGAGGTGGGCTAGGCTGAGAGTGTGTAACTGGCCCAAGGTCACCCAGCAAGATTCCATGGCACACTGTGGATTCAAACCTGGGTCTTCCAGATCCTAGTCTGACACTTTAACCACTACACCACACTGGCTCTCAGGAAGTGTCTCCCCCCCCCCACTTCCACAAGCTCTCCTGAGCTTCCTGTGCTTCCCCTGGCTTTTCTTAGTTCTTTCCGAAACCTGCTTTAATATGAAAAATTAGAAAGCTCGCAGGAAAGCCAGTTTAGCTGCCATGGGGATGGGAAAGTCTGGATCTTTCCAGTGTCTCCATTTTCCCTGCCCCAGTCCCCTGCATTCCCCCATCATGGTGCTTTTTAACATGGTCAATAGCTATAGTGTTACAATGATCTATCTGCTTAGTCCTCTGAATTCATTTTTTAAAAGTCTCTTGTCCTTTGCATTGTGTTAATATAAGGGGACAGGCATACAGGCCCATAGCCAGGATTTTTTAATTCGGGGGGGGGCCTTTAAATAAGTCAGGGGGCACCCACACACACCCCTGTACCTACCCCCAAGGGAGCACCTGGGCTGGATGGGAAGCCAGGGGGGCTTGGTGGTAAGTCAGGGGGCCAGGCCCCGAGATGCCCCACTGTAGCTATAGGCCTGCAGGCATATATATATATACACAAAGAAAAGGACTAGAAACTTACTTTTTAAAAATGAAAGCTACAAATTCAGATAACTTAGTTGGTAGATTGTTATACTATTATATAATGATCTAGCAACTGCCAGTTTGTTTTTTTTTAAAGGCCTTTCCCCCCATTACACAGGGGGAGGAAAATGACTGCAGCAGGGAAAATGCAGGGAAACATACCATATAGAAGACCCCTTGCCACTGTGATTAATTGCCAGCTGCAGTGGCAATGATAAAACACCAGGAAATCTTTCTGTGGAAGTGTCACTCTTTTAATCTTCTGCTGTTGGGCTGCATTAGCTCAGGTTCTACTCCACCAGTCACATTTTCTCCGTTCCTCAATTTATCCTGACAAAACCTTGTGTTAGGCTGGGAAAGATCAATATCCCACAGGGACTTCAATGTCACACAGGGACTACATGGCCAGGTGGGAATCTGAACCAAGGGATCCCTAGTCTTAGTCTGACACCTTAAACGCTACATCACCCTGTCCCAGAAAGTAGAATTCTGCCAGGAATGGCAACAGAAATAGGGTGGAATGTGTCATATGACCCTGAACTGTCTGTTTTCTTTTTCCCTCTAGGATGTAAAGAGTACATTGGTAAGGTATTTGTTTTCCTGTTCCTCTTATGTATACTCCACTGGGTGGGGCATTGTTAAGTTGAAGAGTATAATGAGGTCAGGACAGAGAAAACTAAGATCTCTTCCTTCTCAGGCTGTGTAGGATTATTATTCTACTAGCTATGTAAAAGCTGCTTCCTTGTGGTGACATCCCACCCATGTGTCTCCAGTCTGCCATCCTAAGCAGAGTTACACCCTTCTAGGTGTTGACTTCAGTGGACTCAGAGGGATGTAACAGTGGCTGTGCAGATCAGACCACTGGGTCCATCTAGGTCAGTATTTTCTGTGCTAACTGGCAGCAACTGTTCAGTGTCTTGAGCAAAAAAGGGTCTTGCCCAGTGCCTGCTGTCCTCCTTTAAATGAAGATTCCAGGAGGGGAACCCAGGAGACCTTTGGCAAAGTATACGGTATACCTAAGTTCCACAGCTCCTCCTTGCACCTGAATACAAGGGTAGGGCCAAGTGCATGATTGTTGATCGGCAGATGTGCAAGCCAGCATGTTTCCCCCCATTTTAGGCTCAAGAAAAGAAAGTTTCAGGATTCGATGGAAACCTCTTCTGGACTGGAAGAAAGCCTTAACTCTTTGATTAGGAAAAATGTTGTTGTCAAGGAAATTCTGCAGAAAATCAAAGGTACAAACTGAACACATGACCTCTGAACATGCTCCCTGTGCCAGCTAAAAGGATGCTGGAGGTTTTGGCACAGTGGGGACTTGAACCTGGTTCTCACAGATCCAGGGGCAAAGTGGGAAGCAAAAATGGATCTGGAAAAGGGCTCTGTCCCCCAAGATGGCTCTGCCCTCCCCAAAGGAGGGAGAGATGGTAGCCTACCTGTAGGCCCAGCACCTCTTTCCAAGGGCAGCATGGGACTGCGTGCCACCACTCCCATGCTATGTAGAGCTCAGGTGGACTGGGAAGAGCCCTACTTCTACTGGGCTGACCCAGCCTGGAGCGGGGAGGCTGCCAGCCCAACATGAGAAATCCCAGAGGCCTTAATGGCCAATCTGCCCCTGCCCAGATCCTCATTTAACACTCTAACCACTACACAATGCTGTGGTGTACCTGTGTCAGGTTATCAAATGCTGGTGGGATTGATTTAGGGGAATTTAAGGACTATGTGACATTAGAGAATCCAGTTTTCCCTTCCAAAGCTGTGAATGTCCTTTGAAACAGTGACTCACAGAATTCTGCAGGGAAACAGATGATTTTGTACTGGAGTGCTACATTCTGTATTTTCAGTGCAGGCCTGGTCATGTTGTTATCTTACTAGGCCACTTGCTACTAAAGCAGCCTGTTTGACTATTGCAAAAATTTCCACAGCTTTCCCCCCTTGTAAAATCATGAGTCTCACTTTCTTTCTAGACACTCTGCCATCTGAAGTAGAGAAAGGTCGGACAAAATCTCCAGCAGCTCTTGAAGCAGCAAAAGGTAGTAAAATCAAGCATTTCCACAGGCAAAATAGTACAATATCTTAATATATAACAGTCTCTAAACACATGTCCTCTAAACAAATGAGAGCCAGTTTGGTGTAGTGGTTAAGTGTGCGGACAGTCTCTAAACACATGAGAGCCAGTTTGGTGTAGTGGTTAAGTGTGCAGACAGTCTCTAAACACACATGAGAGCGAGTTTGGTGTAGTGGTTAAGTGCGCGGGCTCTGATCTGGGAGAACCGGGTTGGATTCCCCACTCCTCCACTTGCACCTGCTTAATGACCTTGGCCGAGCCGTAGCTGTGATAAGAGCTGTTCTTGAAAAAGAGCAGTTTCTGTCAGAGCTCTCTCAGCCCCACCTACCTCACAGGGTGTCATTTGTGGGGAGGGGAAGGGAAAGGAGTTTGAAAGCCGCTCTGAGACACCTTTGGGTAGTGAAGGGCGGGGTATAAATCC